ATCAATCTATGTGCCTCCTCTCACATATGGTCACATTAGGTGTGACCAGCCGCTCACCAGCCTCTGTTGGCCTCACCAGCTGTTGTTTATCCGGGGCCTTGAAGTGGAGAGGGTGAGCAGCTTTAGGTACCTGAGCGTCTACATCTTTGAGGACCTCACCTGGACCTGGAAAATTTGGTATGTCGGCCAAGATCCTCAGCAGGTTCTGCAGCTGCATTGTGGAGAGCACACTGACAAGCTGCATCACTGCATGGTACAGCAGCACTACTGCCATGGACCGCAAACACCTGCAGAGAGTGATAACAACTGCTTGGAAGATCACTGCTGTCACTGCAGAGCACTTACCATCGCAGAGCCCAGAGGAGAGCTGCCTCCATCCCCAAAGACCCCCCACACCCCCAACACGGGCTGTTCACACTTCTGCCATTGGCATGGAGGTTCAGAAGTCTGATATCCAGAACATCTATACTCAACAACTCTTTCTTCCCCATCGCCATCAGACTCTTGAACAGCTGACCTATTTTTGACCAGTAATAATAATGTTTTGCACATCAGGCTGCATATTAAGCTATAGCTCTTTTGCACACATCTCTGTTTCACACTTCAATATTTTGTCTCCTTTTCTGTACTTTTGTACTATTTGTATTTTATCTGTTCTATTTCTGTTGTCTATATTAACCGGCATCTGAGGGTGGACAGCAAAGAAAAAAATTCATTGCACAGAGAAATGCCCTTTCCCCCCCTTTGGACACGTGACAATAAACACTTTGAATCTTGAAAAATGAAAAAAACTGTGAAATCAGGGAGGGGGCTTAAACTTTTTCACAGCACTATATGTGTACTACTTGGTCTCTCTGGAATAGTTGCTCTTAACTTAACCCTGACTGAATATGTGTAAGTTTATGTGAGTTACATCTTTTTTTTGTCTTCTGTGTCTGTGCACAGTGTGCCTCACCATTTCTACTTACACCACTGAAATTAATGGAACTAATGCAAACATCACTGAACATCAAAGTACGGTGGACTGTCAGATGCACTGTCAGACTTCCTGCGTCTTTCTATGCATCCCTGGAGAAAAGGCATGGTTCAATGGTACGTCTTACTGCTTGGATGTTAAGCCTGAAACAACACCTGAAAATGGAACAATTTATCAACTGGGAAAATGTAAGTGTGCTGAAATCTAGTCTGATTAGGATAGAAATTGTTCTGCCGAACTGCTGATTCACAGCCATTCCCACTTGTCCTCTCTTTTTCTTAATCTCTTTCGTGTCTCTTTTCCAGATCACACTTGCTACCTGTACCCATGCCTGAACAGTTCCATCTTGCGACTGATTGATTCACTGGATTATAAACAGAAAAACTTGATAACACTCTTCAACATAAGAAACTCGTGTTTGAACCTCTTCAATAATAATCAAAAACTCAAGTGGACCTTTATAAAGTAAGTAGGAGTCCTGCAGCAGGCACTCCTGCACATGCTGTTGAGTAGGCACATGTATTTGTCTTTTTTTCCTTTGTTCTATTTTTTCCCTTTAGTACTGTTAATCTTTAGCCCTGTGACCAAAATTGCTCACAGGATGGTTGATCCATCAATTTGGGTCAGACTGAGACATCTTAATGACAGTCAGGTCACCTTGGCACAAATTTTCGTGCCTTCACGTCACACTAGCATTTGTGGTTGCCAAATGCTAGTTCATTTAATGCAAATGTATAAATCTGATTGCAGAAGATGTTCTTTCATTTGCAAACATGTGGATTTTATTTCTGCAGTGAAGAAAGAAAGGCCATCCATACCTTCATAAATAACACCCAGACTGAGGCTGCATTGTCCAGTACCTACAACCAGCAGTACTTGTCTCTGAATGTGATCAACATCAGCAAGGCCCCAGTGAATTCCATAGTGGAAATAGAAGCTCCCCAGGTACACAAGCCAGATGTTGATGAAAAACACAAGGGAATAATATGGACTCAGATAGCATGACAGTGGTTGTTTAAAAGTATTGTCTTTGATCTAGTTACTTATACTGTATGCTTGATTAAAACTACCCTTAAATTGTTCTGCAGAAGGATATAAATGGACTTTTTTTCCCCATCCACTGTTAGCTGCACCCTCAGAACCATTCATTCATCCCTAAGATTTGGCTGCCTGTCGATGCTCTAAAGACCATCCCAGAGGAGAAGAGGATTATTGGCTTGGTCAGCTTCATGTATCACGACCATTTCCAAGTATATCCTAAATCTTTTATACTATTTCAATATGTTTTGATGAACTTTTTTATATTCTCAGTCATGAGCATTATCCCCATTTAAAACAAATTATGTACATAAAACATTTGTATTTATACCATATAATAATGGTCTTTATTTCCTCTCTTACTGTACATTCCTTTGTTAGTTTGATCAGGAAAAGATTTTATCAGTGGTTCTCAGGATAGAGGTGCTGGGGGAAGAGCGCCTCAGAAATCTGGCTTCTCCAATCAAGATGACCTTTAGAGTTAAAACAGACAAAGGTCAACTGGATGTAAGTCTGTTTGTACGGAAATGTTTATTCTTTTAGTTATTGAAAATTTGTAATCGGATTATGGTTCCACGGTGTAATGGTTTACATATTTGTCCAACATGTCAAAAGTCCCTTTGATGCTGTGGCAGTAAAGGCATCTAGCATAACAGTCTGTCAGATCAAACATGCAGTTCCTCCTTGTGATTAAGGGAGCAACTGAGATCACTGTGTCTGATAATCTCGGTGTCTGTTGCCTAATCATACACTGAACCACTAAATTGTGCAACACTAAATGTTCTGGCTCATAAAAAGGGGAAAAAAGATGTGACTTGATTTCATCATCATCATAAGTTTTATAGAACTTTTCTTTTACTAGTTTTATTCTGTTTAAGAAGCTTAATTGACTTTGCATTATTAACATTTTTCTAATTTTACAGAATGACTCACAGTTAGTCTGTCACTATTTTGATGAATTTGATGAAAATGGTAAGTATATATCAGTTTTATTGGTTACTTCAAGATGAACACCAAAGTAATGAGATTGGACACATTAATATTTTTTTACCTAATTATTTGTTAACTGACAATTTGGGGAATCTTTAACTACTGGCTTGATTTATTTACGCTATATTGGCTTTATAAACATGGTGTTTTAAAACTCCTGTAGTTTGGTGTAAGTAAATGGATCTTTGTACGTGAATTAGGACATGTAGTGTAATAGACACAGTGCAACATTGCTGCAGAGACAAGCATAACTGTATTTTGATGCAGTCGTTGTAACCTCTAATCTAATCTTTTGTTGAGAGCTTCCTGTTTTATTTCTGCATGTTCTTCCTGGGAGGGGGTGTTTCTATTCAGTACTCTAACCTCTTTGTACACTCATTTCTACTACACTCATTTCTACTACAAACACACCGTTCTGCCCTGCTTCATAGATTGAAACTCGCCCAAAATGCCGCGGCTCGCCTTCTAACTGGTACTGGTAGGCTTGAGTTTATCACCCCAATTCTCTCTGGCTTCCACTGGCTTCCAATTAAATACCGCATTGATTTCAAAATCCTACTGCTCACCTCTAAAGCCGTAAATGATATCGCACCTAGCTACTTTATTGATCTCCTCAGTGTGTATATTCCCAGTAGAACACTGAGATCATCTGACCAATTTCTCTTGGTGCATCCTAGGTCACAGCTGAAAACCAGAGGTGACCGTGCCTTCGCTTCAGTCGCACCTAACCTCTGGAACAACCTCCCTCATGCTATTCGCTCGTCTGACTAAAGCCAGACCTTCAAGTCTCGATTGAAAACCCACCTTTTTAGTTTAGCCTTCCCGGCTTCCTAGAGCATGCCTTTTAAGTGTACTTTCTTGCCCTCCCATTTTCCTCTTTTGCTTATATTGTTTTATCAATTTTATCTTTAAGTCTTACTTGCTTATCTGCGTACTTGTATGCTTGGTTAATCAATGCCTCCCACCTGCTAGCTTATCTGCTTTTGTATTTGCTACTGTTTTATTGGATTTTGTGAAGCACTTTGGTGTATCTCTGGTTTTAAATGTACTATACAAAAGTTGTATTGTATTGTATTTCGTCTCTAGATGTGGATGTGTGGATCCACATCTGTGGATGTGCATCCTCAGTTAGGCCTGTGATGGACTGGCGGCCTGCCCCACATTCTATCTCTTGCCTTTTAAAAATTTTGCATATGCTTAAGTGAAGTTAAGAAAGCAGTAATGAAAAGGCACTGATGTATAGATTACTGCACTTAAAATAGGAAACTGTTCAAGTACAAAGAACGAAGTTTTACTTATTTTTTAGGCTCACCCTGGAAACTGATGGATGTGAGACTCAAAGCTTCAACCAATCAGATGAACAGGACATTGCGTGCTATTGTGACCATACTACACCGTTTGCTGTTCTTCTGGTAAGTTGTTCCTGATGAACTTCTTGTTTTAGCCGCTTTCAGTTTTAAGATATAAGAAAAATAAATCTAATTATAGAGATCTTTATTCAATATGGGTTCCAGAGGTTAGGTGCGACTGAAAATCCCCTATTTCCTAATTTTCTCACTTGTTTTTAGATATTGGTAAAAGTAAATATGTAAACTACAGACAATTTTCATCACTTTTGCAGATAAGAGGTCAAATTGCAGCAGTCCACTGGAAAATATTGTCATACATCAGTTACATAGGCTGCGGTCTGTCAGCTTTCTTTACTGCTTTGTCTCTTTTGATGTATGCTTTCAGTCGGTATGTATCATAAAATTAGCATGCATAATAATGTGCTTGTCTGTGGACTTCACATATCTGATTGTTTTTTATTTGTCTCCTCTTCAGTAACCACAAACTGGACTACTCACTATCTATTCACGTATCCCTGAGTGGGGCCTTGTTTCTGCTCAATTCATCCTTCCTGCTGACTGAGTGGGGAGCTACACTGGACCTAGAGGGCGTGTGTGTGTTTGTTGCAGCATTCATGCATTACTCCTTGCTCTGCAGTTTCACCTGGATGGCCATAGAGGGACTTCACCTCTATCTAATGCTGATCAAGGTGTTTAACACCTACTACAAACACTACCTACTGAAACTTTCACTTGCGGGTTGGGGTGAGTATTGCAAAATTTTCAACGGTATTTACTACATGAGAAAAGAGGAAAGGGTTTATGAGGAAACTTGCACTGAACCAGAGATCATGTAGACAATGGCTGCAATCACTATTGAATGTGAAAGTATGGGTAGCTACTAGGGCTGGGTGATATATCAAGTTTTTAAATATATCGATATATTTTTATAAGAGATATTTGATGTGACAATATTGTTTATATCGATATAGTCTATGCTATGTTATAATTATACTTGTGGAGCTGCAAGTTTACCTCTCTTTCTCCCACTTTTGCCTACGCTACGTTACTCTGACTCCCCTCTCTACTTCACTGAATTCACTAGCTGGGCCCACGTCCTCATATTAGGTTGACAAAGTACTGGTAGGTAAAAGTGAATGCTTTGACACGAATTGAGCTGCGGTTTGGGGAAGGCCTCGAAGGGGACTGGCGATGGCTCCCAGGCCTGGCCGATCCCCATGCACTAAATAGAAATGAGGAAGTTAAAGAATTGAGAACAAGGAGGGAGGGAGGGAGGGAGGGTGAGGCACGTAAACAACGATCAACTGCTTGCAAGAAAACCATTAATCAGCATATGAACATTAACTGATGCTACTGAAGTGAAGCAGAGCAAAGTTACAGAGGTTTTATTAGAGAGCGAAGCAAGTGAATAATGCAGAAAACAGAGCGTTTTAGACGGGAAACAATTCCTGAGAGAGAGAGAGAGCTCTGCACTAAGCATGATTTTATCATGGTGGAAGCAAAACAGCAAAAGTCAGAGGGAATTCATGACGATGTTTATGTGAAGCGAAATGTGAAGCGATCTTCTTTTGCTGCTGGTTCAGTCAATATGTTTGGAGAGAGATAAAACCTGCAGCATCAGAATCGAGCGCAAAAAGGACGTAAACACAAAGCTTTCGGCTTTCAGCCCCGACGGCGTGTCCATGCCCGTGCTGTCAGGTGAGAAAGGCGACATCTCACTGATTCTGATCAGTCGGTGGGTCCGCGTTTTGTGTTTACATCTTTGTGCAGAATCCCTGTACCTGCTGTCGTTTACTGTTTTAGCTGTTTGGTGGTTGTTGAAGTTTTTTGATGTTTAACCTGAGATTCAGGCGTTTCGAGCAAAATAAATGTATATTTAAAATTCGATTCAGCATTTTAATAAATCGATATCACGCTATCCAAGCTAGAATCGATTTTAATCAATAAATCGATAATCAAAACCCACCCTAATCCCGACTAAAGGCTGGAGGACTAATAGTATTTTCACCATTTACAACAGCGCCATAAAGTGCAAAATGAAGACTGTGTGAAACTGCGTGCTGTAGACCGCAAAGTCTCCCAGCCTCCTGCCCCGAAACAAACCACCTTACCAAACTCGTATACCGTATTTTTCGGACTATAAGCTTACACTAAAATCCTTTCATTTTCTCAAAAATCGATAGTGCGCCTTATTTATAAATTCTGGTTGTGCTTACTGACCACGGACCGCTTTTATGTGGTACACAGCACTCAGAATCTGTCAAAAATGTTTTAGTACGACTTTGTTAAGCTACATTGCTGCACCACTTGCTGGAATTGTCGGAGCATTACGGCTACCGTAGTCAGGAGCCTCGCAGAGTGATACGTACTGTGCTTCAACGTAATATTGCCATATTGTGTGTGTATAAGGACCACAAATGACACCTGTTAAGAGACATGATTATGAAGCGGATTTCAAACTCAAGGCTGTCAGTCACGCAGTAGAACTTGGGAACAGAGCAGCTGCGAAATCTGTGTGAACCTGCATCGTGAACTACGAACGATTAACCCCTGTGTTACGTCCCTGGCTAGTCTAGGGGTTGAAGGACGAACATAAAGGTGGATAGTGAAGGAGGAGCCAAGATGGTAACTTTAAAAGGTTTATTTAATGCTGGTGATGAGATTTGGGTTCAGACTGAGGTATAACTTCAGGAGAGCCATGGCCAACATAACAAACAAAACATCCCTGATGTAAAATAAAAGAAACTTACCTAACTCCAAAGAAAACAAAATATACAACCTATAACCATAACCTACCTAACAACACATAACAGGAAAACGGGATGTCAAAACAAAGGCAGCTCTCCCCTACAAGCAGTCTGAACATGAAAACAACAATGCTCATACAAATCACAAAGGCATGCCAGCCTGTACAGGTATGGCAACCAAAATGGCCAGAGGGCACAGAAGCACAGCTCCACAGGCCTTAAGTAGTGCTCTGCTGATTAACAATTAGCCGGACTCTGAGCAGCATCCAATCAGGACAGAGGAGGTGGAGCCTAGACGAAACAAAGAGTTAGTAGGGAGAAGAGACATCCTCCTGGGGGATGTAACACCTCTGAGTCAATTGTGAAGTTTGAGCAGAAGCTGAATAACGCGACTGAAAAAAATCGCACAGTGTATGCCAGCTTAAAGAATATCAATACCAGGCCTAGTAGCCACCCCTTTTGAGATTTCCTTCTACATTCACTGTATGATTAATGAACACTGTTAAAATTGAACAACATCTCTTAGAAATATGTCTGACTTCTTCAGACTCACTTGACTGCCAGATTTCCCTAAACTTATGAATGAAGTCTTTCATATGCTGGGTGCCTCTTTGATAGTAAATAACTTGGTGTTAAACTGTGTCTGTGTCTTATTGTGTGCTTCTTAGGTATTCCTGCTGTAATTGTGGCAGTCTCTGTAGGAGTGATGGATTGCAAACAGTTTTATGGAGTTAAACAGATGACCATGGCTGACACCAACCAAACTAGTTCGATGTAAGTAAACCTGCTTTTGGCAAGACTATAAACTAGCACTATGCGCCTTTAGCAATAGGAATCCAAAACCATGACTGAGTTTGCAGGGCAACCTGTCTGCTACACATGACACAGGCCATGTCCACATGAATACGTTTTTATTTGAAAGCGTTTTGGCCTTCCATCCACACTGGCAAATGGAGCATTTTGAAAACACTCTCCAAAGCAGATACATTTGAAATGCAGTTTTCACGTCGCAGTGTAGACAACGAACCCGGAGCCTTTTCGAAAACGATGACACATTTTAGTTTTCAAATTTATCCAGGCTAGTGTAGACGTAGCCACGGTGAGAATTTTCATGCCACACAGACATATTTAAAAACCTGCTGAACATTATGTAGTTTTTAATCAGGATAGCAAATAAATTAAATAACGCACTGGAAAAAATGTTCTTTACAGGATGTTCCTGCCTATTAAAGTAAGATCTGTCTTACAAAGAAGTGCGTACTGCTGAAACCATAAAGTACCAACAACCAAGTTTCATATCATTATGAATTATACTGTTTCTGTTCTTTGTATGCTGGACTGTAGGCAGACTATGCAGCCACAGATTTTGAAACTGTACTTTGACAGCTCTGCCTGTTTTACAGCTGCTGGATCACTGACGACACCTTCTTCTACTCCTTGAACCTGGTATATTTCACCCTTGTTTTTATCTTTAACACTGGCATTCTCATGGCAGTGGCTTCTAGCATATGTAAGATGAAACAAGTGTTACAGACTACCTTAAAGACAGGAGCCACAGCTAAGGGAAATTGTGGGAGACCGAGAGAGGCTTAACGCATCCTGTAAGAGTGGCCTAACATTGTTTGGTCTTACCTGCCTGATGGGTACCACCTGGGGCCTGGCCTTCCTGGGTTCTGGATATATCAACTACCCATTCTCTATCTTTTCTGTATCCTCAACTCCACACAAGGTCAGTTTAGTGGTTTGTGTTTGTGTGCAAGTGATTTGGGCATTTTGTGTCTGATCTGTTCATTTGTTTCTCTGGTTTTCTTGATAAGGTTTCTTTATCTTCCTGTGGATTTGTCTGTCAGCAAAGAAGCAGAGAAAGAGGGCTAAGGAGGACCGAACATCTTCAGCTCCTGTGAGAACTACAGAAATCAAATCTGATTAGAGTTACTCTCTACCATTTCTGCTCTACATGTAATCTTCTGTTATGTTAGATTTAAAAACACACTGAAACTTTAAATACTATTGCTTTATAGTATGTCTGTATTGTCTATATGATTTAATATTTTTTCTGTTTATATTCTGTTTATTTATTTTTTTCTGTTTAGTCAATCATATATATTTTACCTCTAATATTCTTGATATGTATAATTGAGCAATTTGTATATATTAGAGCTATTTCTTTTTTTTTTAAAAACTCTGTAACATATTTAATTACTTTAGTCTGTTACTGTTAGTGTCTTGGAGCAACTATAACCCACATAATTTCCTTAGAGATTAAAGTATATTCTGATGTATGCTTCTGAATAAAGTTGTACATGATATATGGTAGACTGGTAATGGACTGATTCTTATATAGCGCTTTTCTACTCTCCCGGAGTACATAAGCACTCTATACAACATGCCTCATTTACCCAAGCACTTCTAAGCTCAAGTGCAAACTAATCTACATTCACACTCCAATTAACATATCAGAGGGCAACTTGGGGTCAGTATCTTGCCCAAGGATATTTGACATGCAGACTGGGGAAGCCAAGGATCAAACCGCCAACCTTCCAATCAGTAGCTGATCTGCTCTACCACATGAACCACAACCACCCCACTGAAGTGTTGTTAAGTTTCTATGGGCCTGAACACATGATTAACTTTGCCCTTTTCAGACTTTCTCACACGACACACTGAAGAATTAGACCATTTCTTCAAAATGTAATATGCTAGTGAAAAATATCTCTGTATCCATCCAGGTTAATGTTAGGTTAACTGTGCTTTCATTTCAGCACATGCACCAATAGCCCAGTGACCTTTGGACAACCCCCTGTTAAATAGATAACAATTCTTTATAAGACCGATTTATAATATAGTGATGTCATCAGTGTGATAAGTCGGTCTGACTGATTTATTCAGAATTCATTGAGATATGTAATACCATGCATATGATAAACAATTTACCGAACTGTGGATTTTGCAAAGCTGAGCTAGTGAACTAATATTAACATCTGGAAAAGATCCGGAAAAAGAGTAAAATAGATCCATTGCAATGAACTCCTTATGGAGATTTAACTTTTCTTCCTTTCCTGGTGTGGTCCAGAGAGACTCAATTTTTATTATTACAGCATTTAATGCACCATTTATTCCAGACTTCAAATAAAGGGTGCAACAGTGGTCTGTTTTCAGTTTGACATTTTTTTAGAGAAATCAACTTTCTTAACTTCTACATGTTTAAATCCTCAGTTCTTTTCTCAACCTCAGTGGGTTGTAATAGTTCTCTGAGGTTTGGCCAAAGGGGCCAAAGGTAAGAGATGAGAATTCCGGAGTAAGTACTCAAAATTCCATGGGATTAAATGCAACAATAATATATGGTATTCACAGTTAAACCCATGTGATCTAAATATAATCTAAATGTAATATGCATTTTAATACGTCACAAAGGTAAATGTAGTTAATTAGAGCAACAAAACTATCATATGAATCACAAATATAATTTCCCTCGTATGCAACTTCGAATGTTCTAGAGATCTGTGAAGGTAGCATATTAGTTTTGAGCGGAGACTGAGAAGGAGAGAACGTATAGCGGAGAAACACACGGGTGTCAGTTCAACACGTGCGACATACTTGGCTTTGTTTGTGTGTGACCAGACGTTAACAGTGTGAGGTGACATTTCCGAGAGTCGCACCACAGTGTAGAAAGGTGTTTTCAACTGCAACTGCTAAGGTTAAAGGTTGGTCGCGACAACTCGTCTGATCAGCGGACCCTGATATGGACCGTCGGAGAGCTGTAAAGTGACTTGCTGGCGCGCTGTAGCACAGACAGCGCGGTGTCCTCAGGAGGAGCCGAGAACTGGATTCAGTGGACTGGTGAGCAGCCACCGACAGAGCCACTGTGTTTCCATTTTTATGTGCAGTGTCTTTACTTATATTGGTCAAGGGACTTTAGTGAACAGGATTTACAAGGGGTTATGCATAAAAATAAAATAAAATAACAGTTATGACTTTATATCTTTATGACTGCATGTATGTTACTGTACATTCATAACCAGTCCAGTACTTTTTGGCCACTTAAAATATCTTTATAGAACTCTTGCTATATTTGTTGCAATTTCTGTTGTCCTCTTCGCCAGATTACTCTTAAAAAGCCATTTTTTAATGTCAACGAGACTTTTTAACTGGACAGTAAACTAAAAGGCACTTTGCCAAAAACTGATTGCGGCTTCTACCTTGTGATAGGAATGTTGTTTGTGGCTCAAGATGACTTGATATCATTCATGAGGGATATATTTGACACATTTCACATAGCATAGGCCAACAAGTGTGGTTTGCTTTTTTGTTTTTTTTTGTTTGGGGGGGGGGGGGTAGCAGTGTAACTACGGGCCATCGCTTCTTGGTAAATACCGAAAATCAGTTTTTGACAGGCAATCACATTTTGGCACAACACCACCAAGATGTGATAACCTGCTTCTGTGTTGCTTAATAATATTTCATATGGTATTATTTAATTTAAAATATCTATTTCATTTTCTTGTGGGGATAGGTTAATTGGATAATCCAAATTGTCACTATAGGTGTGAATGTGCGAATGAATGTCTGTCCCTGTGTGTTGGCCCTGCGACAGACTGGCGACCTGTCCAGGGTGTACCCCGCCTCTCGCCCTATGACAGCTGGGATAGGCTCCAGCGCCCCTGCGACCCTGAAAAGGATAAGCGGAAGCGAATGGATGGATGGATGGATGGATGGATGGATGGATGGATATTTCATTTTCTAAAGTAACTGTGATATCATTTGAATTTATAAAAAATGTGTGTTTTTGTACATTTTTATGCTGCACCAAAGTACAGTAAATGTTCTGTTCTTGTGCTTAAGTTGTCTGGGATCAATTCTTTCATTAGTGTTTAAGTGTAACATGCAGGCAAGGGGTTTATGGTTAGTTTCCTTGATTCCTGTCCATACCAAACCATTGTGGAATCTGATGCAATAACTAATCCAACACCCAAAATAGTGGGTCTAAACTGATGTAAGAGGGTTTAGACTCAGTATAACGGGTGGAGTGCTACACTTTTCATGACATCTGTTGAAGTTCTTAGACCTGATATATAATTTTGAATAATTTGTGCATGTCTTTATGAAGGTGTCTGACACATCTTCTTGTCGATCTGGTTACCCACTAGCAGAGGAAGAACAGAAAACTTTCCTTGCCACTACTTAAAATGATAAACCTGTAATACCACAAGTCCATCACACCAAACCTCATTAGATCTAAGGTAAGTTTAAAGCAAACCACTACTAACGGAATTTTTGGAATAATACATGAGCTATTCTGATTAGAAATGAAATAGACTATGTAAAGAGAAACAGGTCAGGAAGAATAGAAAAATACAGCAGTCCAGTTACCTCCAAAGACTTTATTTTCAAAGATTTGCATCTTATTTTACTGTGTGCTGCAACCTGTAGAACTGGTGTGGCGCAAGTTCCTGTTTTACTTCCTCAGCAAGCTGTAAGTATCAGCACTTCTTTAGTACTTAAAAGTACTTGATTATTGTGGTAGCACTGAAAGAAATTGCCTGATGTGAGTCATTTCCTTTTCTGAGCTGTGAACCACAGATCTGTTAAAGCATGTGATATATGTAGATATGAAACTCCCCCTCATTCAGCAAACGTCAACCAGACAGAAAAATACCCTCTGGACCTCTTACAGCAAATCTATATCTGTTGATGAGTGAGACGCAATGTGGATTATACTTTTTATCACAACAGCCCTCTGTTTTTCTATGTCCCGAGCTATTGGTGAGTAAACCTACCATGTTATCACTCTTATGTTGAAAGGAGTATACTTGTGAAGTGAATCTCAAAGTCATGAATCCTTGAAAAGTAAAATTACCCAGCTTCTTTGTTACCAATAGCTATTAAAGACTCTAAGTCAACCAGTTTCACAAAACTACCTGCAATTTTATCAAGTGCTGATCAAATACTTGTAAAATAACATCTTGTCTCTCATGTGTCTCTGGAGTTAGATGCCACTTAGACGTTTTATCAGCTTCCAGTCTTGTTTAAATGTATTCATTATGCTAATTTTGGTCTTTCCTTTTCTGTGTGTTTTACTTTGACAGACCTTTGTAAAAATGTTCTTAAAGAATGCCGAGACAGTGACCCATCATGGATAGGGTAATGCAGCTTCTACTGTACATGTCGCATTCCTGTTTGTGAAAAATAAATTGTCCTACATGAATGAATAAATGCTGTCAGTACTTGTTAATTGTTTTCAACAGTGGCTGCTTTTCAGTGGTTTTACATGGCTTCATCATCAAATAAGAATCATTAGAGTATTAGTATACAGCCTCTAACATATACTCATTGTAACAAATACTGCTGTTTCAAACAAGAACACAGTGTAACACTTTGGAATAACCATAATTTTGTATTATTGTTTAAGTGTATTGTGTATGTTGGCGTGTATTTAAACTTGTTACATACTTGATTTATCTAGAAACATTATTTGGATGATTTACTGTACTTTTTATATTTCTTTCTTATTTTTCTTTTTGGATTTTGTTAGCTGCTTGGAATTGACAAAGCTGTAGAATGTGATACTGTGATAATATGGACATTATTATTTAATTATTGTCAGAGTTTCACAGCTCAGCATTATTTTGTGCAAATTGAAAAGCACTGAAGGATGCTTAAACCAAATACAACAGAATCTATTTCTGTTCATCTCAAATTCTTGCAGTTTCATTTTTTCTCCTTTAAATGTATATCCATGAACAAATGAAGTAATCAAATAGCAGAGAAAGGTCCACTATGAAATAATTGATCTTACTTCTCATCTCTTTGCATTAGTTTGTCTTTTTTATCCTCAGTTATATCCCTGTTTGCATGTTTATATATCTGAACTATGTTAAATATCTGTTGGTAGTTGTTACGAGGATCGAATTATGACCTGCAAAACAGGCCGCTCCATGACAGGCATCAAACAACTCAAAGTAAACTCGCTTCAAGAGGTGAGGTCATTTGGAGCTGAAGTGCTTTTTAGAAGTGAAAAAGTTACATTTGATCTGAATTTCTGTATTTTTGTATTAATGAACTCTAATTACTGACAACCAACACATTTTTTAAAGTTATGTTTTCGTGTATGCTTTTTAGGTTGATGTGAGTCCTACATTTGAACATAGAGTTCACATCCCATCATCAGCTCTCCAGAGAAGCATAGGAAATGTGCCTGAGGTGGATGTCCTGGTGGTGGCCTCTGTAATAAACAGCAGTTATTTTAAGGTTGGTAACGCTAAAAGCAACAGAAAAAAAACTTAAATATTCCCACGAGCAGAGTCTCTTCACAATCAGCTGTTGCTTATCATGAAAATGATTAAAAGTTGCTCCTTTAATAAAGAGTTGTTTTCACTGAGGGCCACAATGAGAAATGTTTGCTTTAATTTAGTCTAAAATGTTTGTCTTATATTTGTCTTATATGACAAATTCCTCAACCAGTGTACAAACAACTTTATTAGACTTTAAAATGTTTATTTCAGAAAAGTAATGCATTCTGACTACAGTTCTATAAAAAGGCTACTCACAACAACAATCTTTGGCTACCTTTACCTAATATTACTGTCACGGATTGCCGGGGCAAGCCGTGTGGAATGTAGGAAGGACCCAAAAGGCAGCAGCTCTGGTGCAGGTGAGTGTTTATTAACAGGGGTGGGTAAGTACAAACAGCGGTGGCGACAAAACATGAAACTGGAAACCTAAACTGGGTAAACTAATAAGACAAACCAGAACGAGGATGCAGGGAGGTCCGGAGAAATACATATGGAAATACATATGGGAAGACGCAGGGAGACCGAGGGGAAACAACACAGACGAACCAGCAATTACTAAGACAGAAAATACAACTTAAATACACTCAGAGAACACAGGGAGATTACACACAGGTGGGAAACACAGCTGGGAGTGATTAACATAACGAGACTAGGGAGGCAAACTGAAAACACTCACATAAGACGCAGACCTTCACAATAAAACAGGAACACACGGGCAGAACAGAGTAAACACTAAACAAAGGAAGAACAGAACCAAAATCGAAGAGAAAACACAAAATGCTGGGTCAAAAGGACCCAGGATCATGACAATTACAATTTGTTTAATGGTCTGAAACATGTAAGTGCGAGAAATATAAAAGATCTTCAAAATGCAAATACTTTGTTCATAAAACTGCGCTTGTGGCTGTACAAACTGTAGCTACAACTAGCCAACATTTAAAAAAAAAAATATCTTGAAATTTAACTACAAGTCCTCTGCCAGGATTAAAGGCTAGATTAGTTTTTGAGATTTGAGATACATTTTTTCATATTAATCCCACCCTAACATTTTATTTATTTTATTTATTTATTTATTTTTTAGAAAGAGGGGCAATACATATTAATGAACATTTTAACAAATGTAAATATGCCAGATTATAGGCTTGGGCTAATTTCCATCTGCAGACCCTCTGGCAGGTTGGTGTTAAACACAAGTTAGTAAAAACATACAGAGACAGTATTTACAGGTCATGTGACAAGGACAAAAACAGTGATCACATTATACTAGAACAAACAATGACAAGGAGAGTGGACACAGAGGACAGTATAGATAACAATAACGGAAACACATCAATTATATTGCACAAACCCCAGTATTGTACATGCCCTGACCATCGTGATATTGCGTTCACCCATTGCACTAACAGTTGTTTCCCTTTTTGTAATACACTAACTCTTTTCACGTCCAATATAACGCATGATTATTAAACATGATCACATGTTTGTGTGTCCCTCAGCCGCCCTTTTAAGTGACTCTTAAAGATGGGTAGACTTGTACTTTCCCTCACTGACAGTGGAAGACTATTCCAGAAGCTCACTCCCTGATATGACAGAGCATTCTGTGAAAAGGTGGTCCGCCTGAGTGCCAGTTCACAATCACTTCTAACAGTGGCCTGAGTTAGTCGAGACCCGGCAACACTGCTAGACTTTTGTTTAATAAAATCACTCATTGGTGGAGGCGCCACTAACATAACTGTCATGTGCCGTCCTTTCAGCTGAGTCCTCCCCAAAGAAGTAGGATACCACAAATTCACCGCAGAAATGGCAAAGTATTTAGGGACTCAGCCGTATGTGTGCGGGCAGGAAACCGTGCAGTCGAGAATCTCTCACAACCCATCACGTTAACCTTCAAACACAACAAAGAGGTAAAAAGACAAAAGTGTTGGACGAACATCTTAAATAGAAAATGTAACAACCTGTTTACCGTTCATTTTGATTCCAGGTTGAAAGTGGAACGTGTGTATTTTGGAAGGAAACATCAGCAAAGGATGGAACAGGTACTACTGGAGATGTCAACCTTCAGTGTTTTTGTTTCTAAATAAAATGACTTAGTTACTCCGAATGTTTTCTTTATAGGTTACTGGAGCAATGAAGGCTGTGACACAAATTACACGGCACATGAATTTATTTGCAGCTGCAACCATCTGAGCTTCTTTGCTGTGCTTGTGGTGAGCTGAAAATCTCTTCCTACATATGATAAAAGCCTTTGGCAAACACCATATTTATCTAATTAATATTTAATTAGATAAACATGTTGATAAACAATTTGAATTGAGAGGCTGTCTCAAATTTATACTGTATAAATAGCCACATATTTAGTTCCAGTCTTTCCACAACCAAATGACCAGAACTGAAATGTCAGCAATACACTCAAAGATGATAATTATGATATTTAAATTATAATTATAATTATAAGTTCACTGTACACATACTTTGTTGTGCATGTAAAATAACAATAAAGGGCTATTCTATTCTATGAGCAAACTAGTGTGTTACACATAGATTGTATAAAAGATAGAGGGAGCCACCATGGTATCAAGTCACAATTTAAGGCTATGGGTCAGCACACCTGTCACTCTAATTTTAAGCTTTGCCAGCACATGGATCACTTACAAAAATAATTAACTCATCATATAGTTGTGATGAAGGGTGAACCAACCGATACATTCCCAACCATGTATTGCACCAAAATGTCTTGCCATCTTAACATGGAAATTTAGCAATTGATAAATTAACAAATCTTGGTCTACTACTAAAACAAATTTCTTATGTAAAATACATTTCAAAACAACAACTTCATCTTTTTATGTTGCAGAATCCAGGAATATCGGTGACAAAAGCTGATGCCGACAAGCTAAACTACATCACTTACATTGGATCAGGATTCTCCGCCCCCTTCGCACTGATCAGTTTGTTCATCTATATTTATCTACAGTGAGTAGATATCATATTATTCACATTTAAAACTTTATAGTTTTCAATTCCCAATTGTGATCAAATGAGAAACTGGAGAAAATAGACTGTATAAAAGCTATTGAGTTCGTTAGTGACAGCAGCTCAGTGATAAGGTCTCTGACCACAACACCCACACTCAAACATGAGCAGATGAAAATAAGAGATGAAAAATAAGAACAAACCGATACTCTTAAGAATTTTGCATCTCAAACGATGAAGAAATTAAGGAAGTACCAGGTTGTTTCCAACTGCTTCTTAAGCAAAGTATGCACAATTTGGACTTCTATACCTGGCTGATGCTCATACTAGCCTTTGGCTTCCAGCTGTCTTCCCCTAAATCAGTGATTAATGACCCACTCTTAGTCACGTTAAGTTTAAGGAAATCGTCATTCTGAACATTTAACAAATGCAGGCAAAGCATCAGCCAGACCTGACTGTGAGGTCTGAAGAGGAGGCAGCAGTGCAGTGTTATCAGGAAACTTCAAGTCTAGGAGCTGTCTGTGTACATGATAAAAACCAGAGGAGAAAAACACAGCCCTCAGGAGAGCTGGAGTTTGATAGGTTTGAGAGGGTTGGACATTTACAGAAATCCCATTCAAGTTTCTCAGTTAAAAAATTCAAATGTAACATTAAAATCTGCTCAAGTAAAATAATTTCAGAGGCCAGTCAGTCCATCAGTACATGGGGCTGCACCTTATCAAAAGCAGAAGATGCTTATATGCTGTATGATCTAGAACAATGAGCTTATCATCATCTATATCAATGCTTACTTTATAAGCAAACAGCAGTGGCTCTAATCTGTCATCAGTTGAGGACACAACCTCATCAGTTTTTTTTTTATCACAAGATGTGTAAATACAGCTGATCTTAACTCATTTAGTTTTCTTGCATCTTTTTTTAGTATTGTGATTAATATGTTTTTTTTCTAAATGACTTCACATCAGTTACATTTCATTTGTTCTGTATGCTGGTTATGTTTCCACCCTCTACACATCTCTGTACGATTGTAGAAAATCCTCACTGAGCTAGATGGCATCGGGGGCCAGCAGCTGTCCTAATATTCACCATTTTCAAGATGGTTTCAGCCTGTTCTAGTGACATGACAAAATGATTCTGAGAAAGATTCACTAGTATGAAAAAAACATTTTTTCATTTCACATTCCTCCATTGCTTCCTCACTTCTCCACAGCTGGTGTTAGCAGCAGCACCAGCAACCTGTAAGGATTGGTTACTATTTGTTGCTGGTTCACAGTCAGGCAACCCTGACGGCTTACATGCCGTTACTTTGACACATTTTGCTGCATTTATGTTTAGTTTATTTTTTTTATTGTTTTCTCTCAGCTTTCCAGCTCCACCTTTTCACCACTTCTTCCACAATAAACTTTTTCACAAGGTGCGTGAGAAGGTAGAGGGGAGCCGGTCACATTAAGAAAGTTGATTGAACAATCCAGTGGCAGTATTTAAAAAATGAACAAATGGTGTCAGTGCTTTGACACCTGTTGTGCCAAGGTAGTTATCTCCTACAGCATTTGTGTCTCCTGCGCTCCCAACGGGGGAGAAACTAATTCTGTCAGGGATAACTAGCTTTGCATGACACCTGGTGCATGGTGGCCCTTCAGGCAAAGACAAGCAAAGGGAACCCATACAGTTAATATACATACATTTAATAAATGTAATGGAGTAGCATGATGGTGCAAGTATTTCCCGTTTTTTCACAATATTAGTTTTGGCTATGATATTATACAGAAGACAACTTATTACAGGAAGAAGAGGAGTGGGAAAAGGTGGTGGTACTAGGGGAATCGAGGGGGCAGTATATCTTGAGGTTCAATGTTGTTATGGCACTGAGAAGTAAACTGCTTTTGACGCTGTTTCTCAGGTGGCAACAGGTCAAAAGTGAGACCAAGATTATTTACTCAATCCTGCTAAATTGAGTAAGTCCTGTAGAGAGGCCGTAGTTTCTGCACAATGTGATACAGTACTTTCTGTAAAAAGTCATGAGCTGTTTTTGACTCACTTTGGTCTTCCCGAGTACTCTGATGAAATGAAGTCATAGCTGTACCTTCTGCTAACTGCAGAGTCTTCTTTAAATTGCAACAATTAAAGTCTCACAAGGAGGAATTTAGCAAATGGAGCAAATAGAGTCCAGTTTGTGCATTAGGTCAGCGATTATCTGAGGAGTAGCTGACATGTTGACTTGTGGATGATTAAACACTGCTGTATAAAACAACTGTTGTTGTTTGGCAAATAGAATACATGGAGTGAATTTATCCACAGTTCCACTGCAGCAGTACATATCCTGATGTTTGCAGTATTACACCGCTTCCATTTACATAAACAGCTGGTATCTGTAGAGCTCTGTAGGGAAAGAAGAAACTCTTGACTCAGACTAACTCTCCTATGTGTGTCTCCACAGCAATGTAATTACATAAAATAAAATAGAATGCACTCATACTCTGCATCACCAAAGAACTTACTAATAGCCTGTAATACTCTGACAGAGTATATCTGAGTCTGGTTTGTGGCAAAAACCTCTGAGGACACAGATACTGTGAGTTCCTACTGTGCTGTTTATGAACTAAAGGGTCGAACTTTTGCTACAGATGTATTTGCTTTTGTCAGGGTTCCCTGTATAAAGAAACATCCCTCTTCCTTTAACAGTTGTCTCTGCAAAGAATGATGAGCGTGTGTGTCACGGTCTGGCTGGCAGACCGTGGGATGTGGGGAAAGGAGGACCCAAAACGCAGACTCTGCGATGCAAACAGTGCTCTTTATTTACAGTGAAAAGGCTGTAAATACAATAACTCCCCGTTGCTCCCTCGAACCCCGTGTGCGTGCTTCCCTCCGATATCTGTGCTCGTGCTCCCCGCTGTTGTGTTTCCGCACCCCCGTGCGTGCTGCCTCTCCGGACCACTCCTCCTCCTGTAGGGAAACCAGAGACGCAGCCGTCAACACTAACCCTCGGCGGGCATATACGCACAGCACAGACATAAGCTGACACACACTGACTTGGTACGATAACTCAATGATCCCGCGCCGGTGGGAGCTCCAACTCTCTCCTAAGTAGCTCCCCCGACGAGCCCTGATCACCAACAGGTGTGGCATGAACTTCAGGTGTGGCCAGTCCTTCCGCAGGGCCACACCCCTCAGGCCTGCAGGTGGCTGAGCTCCATCCTCCAGCCACACCCGCAGACATACACACCCATACCCTGCCTATACATATGAGTGGGACACAGACTAACACAGCACAGTGCAGAAAAACACACACATCACCAAAATAATAATAATAACAACAATAACATCAACAGTCAAAACTGCTCATGGACCCCGAGTCCTCCAGAGCTGGGTCCGTGACAGTGACAGTGTGAGGTTGCAGAGATTGCGTCACAAAAGCTCAGTTGCTGCTTACATTTTGGGAACTATTTTTTTTCAACATGTTGATACTGGTATAAACAAAATGTAGTCACTTCCCCAGAGACATCTTCTGTCAAGTAGCCTCAAAGAAACACTGCTACGAGGGCCTGGAAATGCCATAAAAAAAAACCCTGAACATTAAGAAAACAAACTCAATAATATTAATGGTTAAAAAAATGTGCTTGTGAATGAAATTTGTAAAGTAATTAATTAAAGAAATGTTGTGTACATTAATATATCTGCCTGAGAGTGATTTTGTCATGTTTGTCTTTGTAATTTGTTTGTTTAATGAATTTGTTGATTTTCCCATTTCAGTTCAACCCATATTCTGTTACATTTCTAACATTATATGATGCAAATGAGGCGACTGCTACTCAAAGTGTGGTATTAAGTGAACTTTGTGGCTACATCTAGTTAAGAGACCATTAGAGAAGTGAGGCTACAGCCTCATGGCCTTTCTTATATATAGTTTTATCTGCTGCATTAGTGTGGAGTTATTACCATCATCTCACATCTAAAAAGGCAAGATAATATCCACTATCTCCACAGTTGGCAACAAGAGAATAATTCTGTTTCTGTTTTAGTCGGCGGCATCCTGAGAAATCCATAAGTCTGCACATGCAGCTAACAGTGGCGATGTTCTGCCTCCATCTCACCTTCCTGCTGTCCAGCCTCCTGGCCCAACTACTGAAGGAAAAAGAGGACGGCTCATCTTGCCTGGTACTGGGTCTGGTTTTACACTGGTCCCTGCTGGCCACCCTGACCTGGAGTGCTCTGGAGGGGTTCCACCTCTACCTTCTGCTCATCCGGGTCTTTAACATCTATGTGAGGAGGTACCTGCTCAAACTCAGCCTGATTGGATGGGGTGAGTGTCGTTTAGGTGGGACGCTGCTCTGCAATACACTGTCACAAATGTTTAAATGAAAGTGGATTGTGTTGAAGTGTTACATCTCAATAAAGGCTTAAACCCTTTATTCTGATGTATTGTGATGTCAAGTAAATTCGCCTTATTTGCATAACCTACTGTATTTAAGCACAACAGACACTGACCAAACACTAGGGCAAATAGGTACAAAACTACTTAAAAAAATCACGAATCATGAAATGTCTTGTATGTATTTTAAAAGTAATTAAATGACACTGTTATAAATTAGGCCTTAACTGAAAAGCCTGTCTAAGAGAGATGTGTTTCAAGTTCAGATAATAATACTGTGAAACAGACGATCTGATATGGACGATTGTATATTGTTCAGCTTTAGTCATTCTAATTTATTCTGTTGTTTAGAATCAACAGCTGTTGGTAAGATCACCTGTGCAGTCAGCATGGGGCACAAAATTTTAAGGACAGGGTTCGTACAGGTGCTTGAAATCCTTGAAAATGATAGAATTTTAATATTGTCTTTTCAAGGTTTGAAAAGTGCTTGAATTTCAGATGTGGTGCTTAAAAGTGCTTGAAAGTGTAACTGTATGTCATCACCACAAATAACATTCTGATTGAATAGTTTTCTTATCAGATAGAGAAATAAATGAGTCGCAAAATGTAAAAACAAAATTTCAATTTGGGTCGAAAGTGCGGACTTCAAACTATACACCAGTTTTTAAATTGTGTTGATCGGCCATGTAAAACCAGAGGTATGATAAAAAAATACACGCAATGTTTTTTTTTCTTAATAAAACAGTGGTGTTTTGCAGGGGGAACAAACAGCACTAGCAATCACTCTCAGCCTGGGAGTGAAAAAAAAGGAAAAGAAAAAATACTCCTTCCCTATTGGTGGAAAAATGTACCATTTCGACCAATCAAAAAATGTGGCATTTGGTTGTTTAGGAAGAGGGGGAAGTTTTAGGAGTGACACCAGCGAGAGAGAGCAAGTGAGCGAAAGAAAGAGAAAGTTTTGAGTGAGTTTTGATAGATACGTGATAGATTTGTGACGTTTACCATGTTTGGAGTCTCACGTTAGTGTGTTATCTTGTGTAGTTAGTGTGTAGTGTAGTCGTTGTTTTGTTTTGTGAGTCACTTCTACTAGAGAATGTCACAGTTGCTGCAAAAAAGCCACAAAAGGCAGATCGCAGTGTAAACGCTGTCTCCAGGTGGAAAACAGGAGTGACACACCTGCTGTCAGACCTGCAGGTTTATCCCTGTGCTGTTCTCCTCTGTCTTAGTGGATACAAATTATATTTTGGAGTTGCATAAAGAATTTGTGTGCCTTCCTATTTGGTGCAGAACACCTTACTGTTCTGTAAGTAGTTTTAAATGGTTATATAAAAACGTCTTAGCCTTGGTTGCATTTTTGGGTGTAAATAGTACCATATAACTTTGTTGTTTGCAAAACTTGTGCATATTTTTTTAAATGTACAATTTCTATTTGCATTTCAAGTCTGAATTTAGATCAGTTGTGCTTATACAGTATGTCAAAATGAGAACATAACAGATGGGCAAGATAAACAGTTTTTAAAGGTGAAATATAGACGCCAAATAAAAAGTAGTCAAAAATGGCCAATTATACCCTGGACCCCAGAGGGTTAAAGGCTAAAAGCAAAGTTGTCACCAAGTACTGTTTATATTTCTATGTATTTCTGCAGGCACTAAGTATTAACTTAGTGCCTTTGGGTGAAATAATGATAATATGAGGGACCGATCCATTCGGTCACAAAGAATAGCCACTTGTTTCCGTGCTACCAAAGTTCCCCGGCTTTCATTCACAATGTGATTATCGTCAGCACCTACACATTAAACTACTTAAACATTATAAATGTCTTCAAGCTCACAATGAGGCCACAATAAGGCCTGTATCTACTGTCTCAGTGGCTGAGACAGTAGATACATTTATATGTGTTTTTATAAATGAATATTTCATACTTTAAGGCTGCCTGTTTATTTAAGGGAGATGAACAAAATACTGTAGCGGGTCAGGGCTGTTTGGGGTTTGACAGCTATGTTTTGTTGTTCCAGGCGGCAGCGTTATGTTGCCATGGTTACAGGTGATGCTCTCTCTCTCTCTGCGACTGTGTGTTTCTGGGTGGAGAGAGCGCCTTTTTCTTGTGGTTGTTGTTATGCTAGAGCTACGCCGAGCAGTTGAGTTAGAAGCGTTGTGTTTCCTGTTGAATGCTAATAAACGGCTGTGCTCCCTGGCTAACTCTGTGGGAAGCAAGACCAAACGATCCCTCTGTCTCCTCCTTGTCTGAGCTCGCCACAATGCATTAGAATTGTACGTGATAATATCATAGATGATAGATTAAATAAAAAATTTTAAGTAGATGCTTGTGCGTTCTTAAAGTCTTATATATTGAATTGAACTATGTGATCTATTCAAAGCCTCTTGCAGTCAGTGCTGTTCTCCATGCCTGTCTGACTGTACATGATGTTATTAGCACAAACACTTTAAAGGTGATCATTTAGGACTTCAGCAATAATGCAAACAGCAATGTAGTTAAACATCTTACAGTTAGTTTTATTAGGAATTAACTTAAAAAACAAACAAACATCTGTCTCCTATTTTTTGTGTCATACAGGAAAGAAGCATCAATATCTGATGAGAAGACTTATTTATTTCTGTTTTGTTTGTTTTTTTCAATAGGAAATGAATATCTAACAAGTTGATCTGATCACATTTTCACATCTTAATTCTTAAGTGAAATGCGCATTTTGAGTTTATACAATATATGCATTTAAGGCGACCATTTCCTTTTGCAGTATGTTTGTCTGGTGCGTTTTTCTATGTCTTAACAAAAGGGCAACAAAGATGTTTAAGTTCACCTTGGATGATTTGTTTTAATTTTCACATGGTCTTACTGAGGTGATGCGAACTGAAATTTGCATTCTTTGGGGGGGGGGGGTAAATGTGAAAGGGACCTTAAAGCAGAGGAACAGTGACAATAATGCCTCACGCTGTCCTAAAGAACACTCAGCTGACATTAATTCTGTCTTCCATGTTTTCAGGTTTTCCCTACACTGGTTGCAGCTGTTTGTGGGATTTCACGTGTTTATGGCAATACACTCTGAAATACAGCAACAGCAATTTAACACAACACATGTAAGAACCTATCTTTGGTATCATTTTATATTAGAGTGAGCCAGGAGATTTTATTTCTTAGCAAATTCATGCTGTTTTTTTAATTTCTTTATTAATGAGCAGGTGCTGGATGAGCAACGAGTCTGAACAAAAGCTCCTCGTAGTCAGCTACATCACTACCGTGGCCTTTCCTTTCTTGGTGGTTGTGTTCAATGCCTGCATGCTGGGGCTGGTGGTGTTTAAGATGTTGGAGCTAAGAAGGGGTGATAGAAGCTTTGGAAGCAGCAGTGACTGGAAGAAGATAAACAAAGAGAGAAAGAAGAGGTTATGGAAGGACTGTGTCACAGTGCTGGGGCCTCAGCTGTGTGCTTGGGTTACCTTGGGGGTTAGCCAGCACTACATACGTTTCACTCGCTGGGATCTACATATTCACCGTATTGAACTCCCTTCAAGGTTAGTATGCGATCATCATGTCAAGGATTAACTGGACTTTGATCATTTAATAGAAGAACTGACAAACTATGTCTCTCTCTTCACAGGTCTATTTATTTTCCTGTGGTCTGTGGCGATGGCCTGGTCAAAATCTCAACCTGAAAATAACTCATCAATCAGAGACTCTTCCTCTCAGAAAATGATGACTACTAGTTTCAACAGCAGAAACTGAAAAGACTAATGCATTATCCATGACCTATATTAGGTGTTGCGCTTCTATTGATATGTAGTTCAGTATAACCAATAGGGCTGCCACGATTAGTCGACTATCAAAATCGACGACTGATTTAATAGTTGACGCGTCATTTGAAGCTTTGTTTGCTTTTTTTGATGTATTGTGCACTTAGAGATGCTCTTCTGTATAACCTGGTTGTAATGAGTGGCTCTTTGAGTTTACATTACATCACCCTTTGAGGTCTTTCTGATAAATCGTTCCTAGTGCTGTACCTACTTATAATTAAGTTATTATTATAGCAGCTTTCAGGTAAAAAGGAAAAACAACTAGAGTAATCTCTAAATGATCTATATACATTAAGAGTATTTTAAAATACATTGTATTTAATCTCCCCAATTCTTCCCAGATACTGATTACTGTTAATATTCAACTCCATCATCATGACCTGACATAAGAAGTCTAACCAGGTGGCAGGTGCCACAAGGTGGCAGCAATACCACAGGAGACACTCTTCCCTCTTTTTTTATGCATGAAGATAAGATAAGATAAGATAACCTTTATTAGTCCCACGTGTGGGAAATTTGTTTTGTTACAGCAGTGGACAGTGCAAAATTACATGGAAAAATAGAAAAAAAGAAAAACACTGGAATAAGACATCAATAGATACTGTACACAACTGTACACAATAGAATATAATAAAATAAAATACTATATACAATTGAATAAAATAGAATACAAATGCTATATACAATTGAGTATAATACAACGATGCCAGAAAAGAGTATTGTACTTAGTGTTATTGCTATTGCACATGTGTGGATGTGTGTGTTTGATCGGTTGAAGTCTTTGTTGTGGAGTCTGACAGCAAATAGGGAGGAAAGACCTGCAAAATCTCTCCATCCACATTGTGGGTGCCACAGCTGCCACTGAAGGAGCTGCCTCAGTGCTCTCAGAGTCTCCTGCATGGGGTGGGAGATGTTGTCCAACAGGGATGACAGCTTAGCCACCATTCTCCTGTCACTCACCACCTCCACTGCGTCCAGAGGGCATCCTAGAACAGAGCTGGCCCTTCTGATCAGCCTGTTCAGTCTCTTCCAGTCCCCAGCAGAGATGCTGCCCCCAGCAGACCACACTGTAAAAGATGGCTGAGGCCACCACAGAGTCATAGAAGGTCTTCAGGAGTCGGCCCTTCACTCCAAAAGACCTGAGCCTCCGCAGCAGGTACAACCTGCTCTGCCCTTTCCTGCATAGGGCGTCTGAATTATGAGTCCAGTCCAGTTTATTGTTCAGATGAACACCAAGGTACCTCTAGCTGTCCACAGTCTCAATATCAATACCTTGGATGTTCAGTGTTGCAGTGGAGGACGTTTTGTGCCTGCAGAAGTCTACCACCAGCTCCTTGGTTTTTACTGGTCTTGATCTGGAGGTAGTTCTGCAGGCACCAGTCCACAAAGCCTTGGGTCAGTCGTCTGTACTCCCTGCCGTCCCCATCAGTGATCAGGCCCAACTATTGCAGAGTCATCAGAGAAATTCTGCAGGAAGCACTGGGTGGAGTTGTAGAAGAAGTCTGCAGTGTAGATGGTAAAGAGGAACGGTGCCAGAACCGTTCCCTGTGGGGCCCCCATACTGAACTCTTATGAATTGCTCATGCATTTCATGCATGACTCCATGATCTGCTTTTTACCTGGATGGCCAATGATGCACTTCTGTCTCCTGCTGATAAAGGTGTTTATCACCCACCCCTAGCT